TTCATCACACCATCAAATACAGTCCATTCAACCCCAGAACAAGTAGAAAAACCCCTTTATAACTATAGTGCAGATTTTGAATGTAACAACTCTTTTAGCGAAAACAGCGTGGAGTAAAGAGTTAGTTACCTGCACCCATAACACAATCGATGTCAGAATATTGATGACAAGCTGATAACTAAAGACAAATAAAATATCAATTCAGTTTTCATTCTAATCGAGTAATTCATTCCATCACACCATCAAATACAGTCCATTCAACCCCAGAACAAGTAGAAAAACCTCTTTTTCTACAAACGCTTAACAAAGTAGCCTTTGACGCTTTCAAATTCCAGCACAAAGTTGACGCTTTCCCAGAACTGTCATTCTTTGACAGCATTTGCGCTCGTGAGCGGAAATATTGAAAAAACGCTCGCTTATCTCTGTAACCTATACTTATCTATTCTTGAAAACCCCCAATTCTTGCATGATGGAAAATAGTGACAGTGAATCATCAAACACACCTCCTTCCTGATTATATAGCAGAAAGCGCAAGAGTTTGAATCTCTTACCGGAGAAATCAAGGAAAAAATATGAATTACAATATGATACATTCATAAATTGGTGCCACTCCGAGATGGTGAATATGTATTCATAAAACGTTTCACTGGCTTATTTTGGTAAAAAATCAAAGACTTTGAAGTCATCAACTCATTGGTCTATATATTCGATGGTAAGTATACATGCTTGAATGTTAAAGATAATATCAGAATCAATAAGTATCTGAAACTTATCGCATTTCTCAAGAAACAATCTATTGGATATAAAGCGAGAAAAATCCAAATCATTCACCGCTGAAGATATATACCAACAAGCTACAAGAAGCTCCCGATGAAGCATATCTGTTGAAAACGATGAATTATACTTTATATTTAAACTCTTTGTTGTCATGAGAAGGACAGTGTATCTTTATTTTATTGCATCAATGAGTAATGTTCAATTTGATTGCAGAGCTTATCCAGGGCATCTTACAGAGGTCTGAAGCTCAGGTTGCCACGCTGGTGGTCCAGTTTCAATTCTCGGTAGGCCCGACATTTTTTTTCTGGCATGTCAGTTATTTCAATTTTTCTTTTTTTGTTGCCTTTGGACATATGGGATAATATGGATTAGAACTTTCTCAACTATTTCAATCGCTCATACTTTCAGGGTAGTTATTTCCAAAAGCTGCGTTAGTAGAAAAAATCTTGTGTGTATTTCGAGCACAAAGTGTTCTTTGTCGAGCGGCAATCTATCACTTTGCGCTCTAAATACACAAATAGCTATTATAACTATAGTGCAGAATTTGAAGGAAACAACTCCTTTAGCAAAAACAGTGGAGTGGACATCAGTTAGTTACCTGCACCCATAACCCATGATGCGACCGCTCCTGTCCTCCGATCAGGTCGGGCTCGTCTCGTGCGGCGAGCCGTACGAGTCGGAGGCTCCTCCCTCTTCCGGCGGCGGCAGGTCGCGCGGGAGGCGTCGCGGCGGCGGACGGGCGGCCAGCGCCGGCGTCCCCGTCGCCGTCGTAGTTACCGTGTCGCTGGAGTGGCGGCGCGACTTGCGGTCGCTGAAGCGGAAGTAGCCGCGCAGCCTGTCCATGCGCGACCTGGAATGAACAGTAGGAAGACTGAAAAAGAGGAGTCTCTCCCGACAGTCATGAAACTACACTCAGATGCAAAAAAACGCAACAAGTTAATAAACTGGTCAACATTGATAACGTCGTGGTCCAAAATATAGCCTGAATTCAAAGTAGAATAACTCACGAATTTCCTTACCAATTTGAAATCGGTTTCCACCGATGATTAGCCCAATCTCTTGACAGTTTGTTGTGGCAATATGAAACTTCTGTAAATTCATATGACATTGCTACAGAGTGATAATTGAATGGGTGTAAGATTGCATCGTGGTCGTCACCTTACCGTTTGAACAGATGATTTTTTTCATTTTTTTTCTCACCTGTATCCTCTTGATTGATGCTTTCTCTCGGAACAGTTTCAGAATTTTCAAATTCGGTGCTTTGATAATCGTTTTATGAATATTCATTCAAAATGATGCATTTTTTCGACGATTAATTGAATGAGATTGGAAGTTGGAATTCTTTTTCTAAGAATCAACGTTGTATGTATAGTCGTCGGATATGTGATTGTGTTCCAACACAGAAAATTCTGAGGAAGTCTATACAAAGTGATACAAGAAATACTGAATGATGGAAAGGAGAATAACGTAGTCTTCAGTAGATGAAACATATTTTTCTCTGTGTTACTAGTGAAATAATGGGGTGTTACTTCGTCATGAGGATGTCTGGTGTCTGACCTCGAAATGGTTTTGTAATTTCTCGGATCGAAGGTCATATAACCAAAGTACGCATTTTCAATCAAAATGATGCATTTTCGTTAAGATAAATTATAAAATTCAGAAAGGACCCCGCACGAAAACACGGGAAATTGGCTCTCGGTCGAATTGGCTGAAATTTTACTATGTTGTTGTGGGATGGCTCATTAAAAAAATATGTGAGTTTGATAAGTTTTGTATGTTTAGTTTCTGAGATATAAGCCGACAAAGTTCGTAAACACGTCGTATGGGGGTAGAATTGACAAAGAAAAAAACTATTTTTTTAGTATAAATAAGACAAAATAAGCTAGAAAATGTATTGAACGGAACTCAAATACATGTCTAGTTATGATCACATAAATTATAGTATATCAGGGTGTATACGAGGCACGGTCAAAAAATTCATTTTTCGGAAAAAAATTCGAGCACTATCGATTTTTTTGAGTCCATACTGTTGAGTTCCATATTGTTATTCATGTGGTTCATGTTGTTTATAGTGAAAAATTATTGATTCTCAATAGTTTCATAATGTAATTGAATGTTCGAAAGATTCCGTAAAGTTCTATTGAATCGATAGTAATATCCGAGGTAATAACCCTATAATACCTGTGATAATGTAAACTCAAAAATTGATATCTCAGAAACGAAACATAAAAAATTGAAAATCTTCTTGCATATGATAGTCAACATATTGAAAATAATGTGAGTAAAATGAGATCCAAATTAACGGAACTGTTTTCGAGATATTCAATTGAAACATGTTGAATAATCTTCAACAAAATCTAACACACCCTGTATCTAATTGAAAGGCAATATTGATCAACTGAATTCGCTAGTAAGTTACATCAGCTTTCATTCAATCAACAATATCAATCAATCCCTTTCTTTGTGATCAAAAACAAGTTTGTCAATTGTTTTCAAAAGGGGTATAACCAAAAATTCTAAAAATTCATATTTCGAACAGAGATAGTTTTCAAGAATCAAAATACGTTTTCGAAGCCTACAATAGACTAAAACTATATTGTCCCACCGAAATATAACTTGTTGGTTTTGGAATAGTGCTCGATTTTTTTTTCCGAAAAATGAATTTTTTGACCGTGCCTCGTATACACCCTGATATACTATAATTTATGTGATCACCACTAGACATGTATTTGAGTTCCTATCAATACATTTTCTAGTATATTTTGTTTCATTTATACTTCGAAAACAATTTTTTTCTTTGTCAATCCTACCCCGATACGACGTTTTTACGAACTTTGTCGGCTTATATCTCAGAAACTAAACATACAAAACTTTTTAAACTCACATATTTTTCTAATGAGCCATCCTACAACAACATAGTAAAATTTCAGCCAATTCGACCGAGAGCCAATTTCCCGTGTTTTCGTGCGGGGTCCTTTACGATTGTATCTCCAGAAGTATGAAATTCATATTTATTCTTGACGATAGATATACAAGGTGCGATAAAAAATATGTTCAGATTGTCCCGGGATGAAGAAGAATATGTTTAAACGTGATGAAAATTGCTATGTTCCGAAAAAGAAATATATAGTGTCGGTCATTGTCGAAAATTCTGAAATGTATAAATACAGTACCTCATCATGAGTCCTATACGAGGAAATATGAAAGAGACTGCAGAATTGCCATAGATTCGATAACATGTTTTTCATACTAATGAAGATAAATACGTATTTCTAATCAAAATGATGCATTTTCGTTAAGATGGATTATAAAATTCGAGAAATTACGATTGTAGTTCCAGAAGAATATAATATATATTTATTCTTGACGACGGATGTACAAGGTACAATAAAAAATATGTCCAGATAGTCCCGGGATGAAGAAGAATATGTTTAAACGCAATGAAAATAAGTCCTCATGAGGCTTATACGAGGTGATATGAAAGAGACTTCACATACAGTGCCGGTTTTAGCACTAACAGCGCCCTGGGCGAGATTTCTACGGCGCCCCCTATTTGCAATTCAATTCCATATCAAAGAAGGCAATGGGTATAATGAAATAATCTTTTATTAACAAAAACTAATAAAATTTCACTTTTCTAGCCTTTCTATCGGCGAACTCTTTTATTAGGTTATCAAAATCGATGTTTTCAGCAATTTCATTTTCGATTGACAATGTTGCCAAGTTTGTCAATCTAGATTGACATATTGTCGATCGCAGATAGGTTTTTATCAGCTTAAGCTTAGAAAAACTCATCTCCCCACTAGCAACCGTTACAGGTATATAGTCAATAATATTCGCATCGCAATCCACACATTTGGATACAGTTCTTGAAAGTAGCGATCTTTGATGAAGTTTAGAACATGAGCAGGGATAACCACATCCTGATTAGGCAAGAAAGATTTTAGGCTTATGAGTTCATCACACAACATGCAACCATCTATATCAGATTTAGAGTCTACAGTTGATTTCAATTGAAGATCACCATAGAGTTTCACAAGGTCGGGTTTTTCCGGAATTTGTTTCATATTGTACAAAAAAAGACCAAGACTCCGAGTACTCATTCAACTGTTCAAATCTTTCATTTACTGAAATTAATGTGGTGTCCAAGAGAGAGTTGAAAAATTCAACCTCAAATTTTTTTTCTGGAGAAGTTATAGGCTCGTCGCGCAAAACGAATTCTTGTTGTGGCTCTAAACACAGGTTCAATTTCTAGTTCTTCAGCCAATTCCTTCGCAGTTAAAATGGCGCTCTCAAAGCCTGTATTTCTATATTCTCCCAAGAAAGCGTAGCATTTTTTCAACATTTCTGTACATTTACTGAGATCCATATTCGTTGATTGTAGAGATTTACTAACGACATTAATTTGAAAAAGTATGTCATACCAAACAACCAATGAGACTATTAAGCTGAAATCTTTCAACTGTTCTGCTAGAGTAGTAGCCTCATGAGAGACTTGAACATCAGTTTTCTGAGTTTCAATAGCCAAAGTAATTAAAGCGTCATGGATGGCACTAATTTGATAACGGACTGCCTTAACACTGCTTATTCTTGCTTCCCACCGTGTGTCACTGAGCTTTTTTATAGTATATAATCCCAAGCGATCGGTCAAAATTTTCCATCGATGAAAAGAAGCTGAAATCAATGTGAATAACTATTTTAAGTGCGACCACTTATGCAAAGAATGAGAATGAGCTGAATGCTCAGATCAACGAGGCTAGAGGCTGAATGTGTCTCTATTTCTATGGTTGGGGATTCCCGGTAAAATGAACTGCTTGAGGTGTTCTGATTGACGGGATTGAACACAGTGTTGCCAAAATAACAATTTTTCCCTAAACTTGATGAATTTACGACTGCGGCGCCCCTTTTTCTCCGGCGCCCTGGGCGGTCGCCCAACCGCGCCCTACCCTAACGCCGCTACTGTTCACATATTGGAATGAAAGTCAATCCAATATGCAATTAGGATTTTTTTTGACGTGACAAATTCAAAATAGCAATAATTGTAAGTGTAACTTAGGCAAGCTATTTTTTTTCAAACAGAATTCGTCAAACCTATAACAGCAGGTGAGATATTATGAATTCCTTACGAATCACCCTGTGAAAAAGATGATGCAGCAATGAACATTCAAGAGTTATTCTATCTCCATTCAACTACACTGAATGGCTATGAGGAAATTGTCCTTCTGAAGACCATATTGTAGGTGCTAGATCAGTATAAGATGCAATGGTTATAGCAGTATGCACGAATATATGGCAATTCTGAAGTCTCTTTCTCATTACCTCGTAGAAGCATCATGAGGACTTATTTTCATTGCGTTTAAACATATTCTTCTTCATCCCGGGACTATCTGGACAAATTTTTTATCGCACCTTGTATATCCATCGTCAAGAATAAATATATATTATATTCTTCTGGAACTACAATCGTAATTTTTTAAATTTTATATTTCATCTTAACGAAAATGCATCATTCACATTCGTTATATGACCTTCGATCCGAGAAATTACAAAACCATTTCGAGGTCAGACACCAGACATCCTCATGACGAAGTAACACCCCATTATTTCACTAGTAACACAGTGAAAAATATGTTTCATCTACTGAAAACTACGTTATTCTCCTTTCCATCATTCAGTATTTCTTGTATCACTTTGTATAAAGTCTTTCGCACCATTCAAATCGCCGGGTGTGGATGGTATATTTCCGGCCCTCCTCCAAGAAGGACTGGATGCCATCATACACCTGCTTATGAAGATACTACGATCCTGTCTGGCTCTGGGCTACATACCAGTGGAATGGAGATCGGTCAC